TGCTGGGAGGAACACGAAGGCTAACATTTTCCAAAAGAGAAGCGTAGGATTTAAGACCACGAAAGACCTGAACAAGAAAAAGGGCATCAAGGGGGATGTCTCCGTTTATGTAAAGATTGTAGACTTAATTTCTCTAAAGCATCAGTATAATTATATGAAATATGAGGGGAAAAACGATAAAAACAGACGGACGGAAACTTTTGATGGATGCCCTCAAGCTCATTGGCATCAGTCGAGGCGATAATGATGATACAAGTGACCTAAACATTTTGCTAGAGCATTTCACCTTTACCGGCTTACCTGTTGGATTCCACGCTCAATAGCTTCTTGGGCAAGGCGTCCTGGACCTTCGACCGTTTTACCGTCATCATTTGGACCCCAGGAAGCACTATAGATATCCACTTTATCGAACGCGTATCCCAGTGCGCTGCCCTCGACACGGTCGTTTACCATTCCGTCAAGAAGACGCACGCCTGTTTACCAGAGAAGTGGTTTCAATAAAATATGCTCAGTCCGAATATTCTCTCACCAGCTTCAGGAACCGTCAAGCGAAGGGGTAGTTACTCCAAGGTTCCGGGAACTGGACACGAGAGGGTAGGTACTATATTACTCACAGCAAAATTATCTGTCATATGTAGGAATGGGGTAATTGGTTAGATTTTGTGGATTATGGGGTTTGTGCGCGACGTTCTAATACTGTAATACTCTGAGCAACTGCCATTACAAGGGCATAAGTAGAATATATTACGAAACTAAATTATCGAGAAAGCGTTATTATTTTCGTATCATGCATTTTAATTTCTGTAATATTCTGCAGGGCAGGGCATGTAGTTCGAATGGGGGAGAGGAGGAATGCATATAGGATATTGGAGGGAAAGCCGGAAGGAAATAGACCACTGGGAAAACCAAGGCGTAAGTGGGTGGACAATATTAAAATGGATCTTAGAGAGATAGGATGGTATGGATTGGATTGATATGGTTCAGGATGGGGACCAGTGGAGGGCCCTTGTGAAGACGGTAATGAACCTTCGGGTTCTATAAAATGCTGGAAAGTTCTTAAGTAGCTGCAGAATTAGCGGTTCCTCAAGAAGGGCTCAGCTTCATGAGTGAGTAAGTAAGTAAGTAAGTAAGTAAGTAATATTCCGCATTTCTTACAGAAGCGTTTAATGTATGAGTGCATGTGATAATCATTAGACGTGCTATTCTGTTCAGTTATATTTCTACCCTCAAACGGACCACAATAACCTCCATTTCTCTCTCGCTCTCTGACGCATACAGTGACATCCTGCTAATCTCTCTCACGCACATAGGGACGCTCGGGTAATCCTTCTGACACTTCCAGCTTGCTCCCGAGTTCCCTAGGGATGTAAGATTGTGAATATGCGAGTCGTATTTGCGTTCTAGAGATCTGTCAGTGAAATTTCAGCAGGAAAACTATAATTTTACTCCAGAATTAACTGATCATGGCTGTTTCTACCAAGACAGTGTGAACCCAACTGACACCTGCTGGGTGACCATTCTCTTAGGGTTAAAAGAAAGCTTTGGCTTTCTCATTTGTCGGTAAGCAGTATATACGGGAAAGTACAGACATCATGGAAAAATTGACCTAGATTTTCTGACGGGTAGGTATATTCTCACGTGCATTAGTGACTATAGACGGGGTTTGTAATGGTGAATAGATTTATTGACCACTTACAAGTTGCAGCTACAAGTAACTATAACACCAATTCTGATTTCCATATTACAGATTACTCCACACTAAGTCTCATTCTGCCGGTCACGGTAGCCCAGCGGTCTAAGGCATGCACTATCTTCGCTCGCTCGGAAGCCGGGATCGTGGGTTCGAATCCCACTCAGGGCATGGATGTTTGTGTGCGTTTTTCTGTGTTTGTCTACAGGTAGAGGCCTTGCGACGAGCTGATCACCAGCCCAAGGAGTCCTACCGAATGTGTAAGATCTAGAAAAACCGAAGTGAACGGAGTTCATGGAGGTAGGCCTAGGCCCACTGGGGCTGTAGTGCCAAAGAAACAAAAAAGTCTCATTCTACTACTCATTACGGCAGAAGATAATCTTAATTTCGGCCCCGCCCCAGAATGTAGTTCTCTTCTAAATTCCAGCAAAGACAGACGGTATTTTGGATCCCGAACCTGCACCCTAGCAACGAAAGAAGACAGTTTTGACTTTCTCTTGCATTCTAGTAGGGGCAGAATTTTGCTTCCCCCCACGCATCCTATTAACGACAGAAAATAGGTTCGGTATTCCTCATGTTGTGACAACAGCAGAAGGCACTTCGGGGTTTCCCACCATCCCACCAAGGGTCCCATAATTGTCATTATCCCACTGTTATGACGACTCTAGTGTTGAAACTATCCAAATGTCCTTGCTGAGATGATCCGGGATAGCTCAGTCAGTGTAGGGATTGGGTACGACTGGTCGTCTAGGAATCTATTTCCGGCAGAGCCAAGAGATTTTTCTCTATTCCATAGCGTCCAGTCCGGCTCTGGGGTCTACCTGACGCCCTCTCCAAGGGGTGCCAAGAGCTCTTTCCTGGGGGTAAGGAGGCCGGGGTGTGAAGCAGACCACTGAGCTCCATCCATTGTCGAGGTTGATTTACCTCCTCTCCACGTACGTCTTCATTGCGTGGGGCTTAATTAATTAGGCATAGGGTCAAGGTTATATTTACCATTTCTAGATTTACCTTCTGCTAAGGAAGAAATGGGAAAATAATTTTTCTTGGACTCGAACCCATGCATATTTTCTAGTGTCTAAATCGTCCCCAGCGAAGTTCTCTACCAGCGTACACCACTTTGTCCAAATAAGTTCAGCGGTGTGGAAATATACGAAGCTGAAGCAAAATAAACAGACACGTGTTCTTTTTTTATGAATAGAGGAGATAAGAGCCTAGGCGTAGTGGCAGAACATTGCATTCAGTGCTAACAGGAAAGCTGAAGGGAAGGAAACACTTGGGGAGTAGAGACGTTCAATGGAGGATGATGCTGTACTACTTAATCTTAAAGGAAACCGGAGCAGGCGAACTGGATTCACGTGGCTGAGGAGAGACGCAAGTGGTAGGCTTTTGTGAACACGATAATGAAAATCGGCTGAACCAGTATTTCTTTATGATGAAAGATCCTACTTCACAGAGTTATTTGACGCGATACTGTATCCTCAATATGCTTCTTCTGATCTCCATTATAGAGGCGAGTTACAGACATTACAGACACCGATGAATGAAATTCGGTACAAACATCGTGCAAGTTGCGGTCATCATGCATCATATATCTGAACTCCTCTCTTCAGCTGGATCCACAATAACATCGTTAAGTGGATTTTAATGACAACAGATATTTCGGTGAGCGTGCAGTATTCAGTAGAGCGGTTCAAAGGAAATAGAATGACAGGATGGACATTACAGAAAATGTCTTATAGCCTGGATGATACTGAAGCCTACACTGTACACTCCCCCGTGACTATACGCACAACGCCAATGTGGAGAACTTCAATGCTCTTTTCTTTCCCAGACAGACATGAAGGAGAGCAGGATACAGAAAATGAGTGCTCGCCAACGAAAGTGAAAACACGTACGGCTTGGAAAGTTGGAGTTTCCTTTGGTTCAGAAGCAAAGACGACAAAAAGAGTTTTGTGGAATTTTGGCAAGATTTACTTCACGATACCAGAGCGTCTTAGGAAACCTGCTCGTTGCTTCTCCCAATGCAGGGAGCCGTCAGTAGATACAGGCACAGTTGATGAACCACATACACACTCCTAAATATCCTATCCTATCCAAAATTAAAAAAAAAAGTGTTTGGTATTAACAGCTGTGTCTGCTCAGATGGGGCGTACCTAAACAGTTTGGTCCATTAGAAGGAGCTAAATCACAGCTCCGCAAATTCGTTTCGGCCTTGTCGCAACGAATTAGAAAGTGTCGTGTGAATGGAATGCAAGGAATATTCACTTACCAATTTACTAACATCCGAGTGCTGACCATGTATATTGGTTACGTAATAAGTATAACTACATATTTAATATTTTTTGTCGAGATTCGGGCTGTAATACATTTTGTGTATATACTTTAAAATAGTGTCTTTACATATATAATGTCTAGGGTGTTTGAAGGGAGGTGATTATGTATTTTGTGTGGTGGTGAAGAAATATTCTACACTATCTTGCTGTTGTTATTTCACAGGTGTTTGCTACTTTCAGACTTCACTTGGTATGTTCTAAATGCTAAGTTATATGTGCTGTGATGTATTTTGCTGTCCAGATTTTACGACTGGTAAAGTGGTTTTAATGGGATGGATATTTTAATGTCGGAGATTACCTTTGACAGTGAATTGACGCAGAGAAATACACTTATTATTAATTATAGTTAATATTTTATGTTTTATTTTTCACTGGCTCTACAGCCCCCTTGTGCCTTGATGTGTGATTTTCAGTTTTATGACGATTTTACAGATGGTAGGACTCCTTGGACGAGTGATCAGCTTCTCGCAAGGCCTCTTCATACACATAGGGAAACATAAACACGGAATAAACACATACATACACTACACAGCAATGCCTTGTGTGGGATTCGAACTCACGATCCCGGCTTCCGAGCGAGCGAAGACATTACGTGCCTTAGACCGCTCAGCTACCGTGACCGGCTTATGTTTTATATAGATGCTAAAAATGGCATAAAAACGTACAACACCAATTACAAGTGTCCCAAAGGTAATTTCACGTGTAACTGAATATGTACTGAAGAATCTTTTTATGAAATCCAGAAAATCTTTATAATTTATTTATGCATGACAGGAATGTTGAAATACATGTCAGTTTTGTCAACAGATAATTTGCTGTGTAATGTGGAACTCCGTAAAAGGATCAAAACGCCCCCCTCCCCCGAAAGAAAACCTACAGTTACGGGAGGGAGACGTAGTGTAAATTCATTCTACGCAGTTTCAGACGCAGTGCTGTAGCTACTCACATTGTGTGACGCTTACCTCCTACTTTAGCGTTGAAAGCGACGCCGACGCCGCACTTGCGGTTGTTGGCAGACATGGCAATCTCTCCCGCGCACCGCGTGCCGTGCGCATTAGTTAGGGCCTCATCATAGCGTGGGGTCGGGTCGTAGTCATTATCATTAGCGTCGTAACTTATCTCTGGATCCTGTAAACCACGGACAGATGGCTCTACAGGTCTCTGACAATGGCTCATTCATTGCATCAATATCACATTATACGCTGTCTATTTTATGAATTAGGCATATATTCGATATAGGCTGCACGACGTTTAGGGATTATCTCTACGTTCCTTTTCAAGTGGTGTATTGTCACCATACTGATAGGCCTTCATTTTAAGCCCAAGGATTGCTTGTACTCAAAATTCAATTATAACATTCAATATAGAGATAAAACGCAAAATGAAGGTTTGAGAAGGGCTTCTAAACACACACTTTTCAATAAAACGATAAGATCTCATGACAGAGGAAGACTATTGTTGGCAGACCCATCTGTCGGTAGAATTAGTACACCCTGTAACAAGCTTGTGGAGAACTTTATATATGTACTGTGTTACCATAAACGCACAGGGAATTATTATGATTTTACTGCATAGACAGATTAGTGGCAACAAAGTCACGAGTTTAATCCAAACCTTACGTACAAAATAATAAACACAAGCTGCCAGTATAATGATTGTAAGTCATCTGATGACGAGATAAGTGCGAACTATTTATAGTTCCAGGGTTTAACAGGGATATTCAAACACGAAACCCAGGTAGTGCGTGTATGCACTGCCTGCCTATATGGAAGGAACTCCCACTTATCGCTCGTATGTTAAACTTGACGTCATTCTGTAAATGTTGGTGTAAAGCCTCTGAGTGAACACAAAATTTAGAGGAGCAGATCGGTTTCCACACAAGAGACCTCGATTAGCCCCCGCTCTGCCCTATGTATCGGCCCAAGCAAATGAGATCTTCCTTCGTGTCCTTAATTAACGTTTATTTGATCCGGGAAACCCAATACCTTGTCCCAATTATAAATACAAGGCATGGAGTCTTAAGATAATTCTCGTTAGAGAACACAGCTTCTCGACAACGGATTAAACTGTGAAACAAAATGAATTGTGTTAGTAAAGGACAGACATGTTTCTCCAGTGCATTTTCCAGTTTCGCAAATGTTGTATGTGGTACACTTCTCCCGTAAATAGGACAGTGTCCAATCTGTTCAGCAGTTTTTTCGGAAGGTCTCTGAATATGTCCGTCTTAAACTTCTATAGCAGCCACTTCCTTTTTTACGGTATTACAATGCACTCTGTTGCATAATTAATCCTTGCCTCTATAAAGAGACTGCTTAAGGGTGCGACCCAATTTAGAAGGACTTTGTGCAGTGATATAATCAATAGACTGATCACTCGGTGTTATCAGTTTAGAATTTCATGCTACTTCGTTGAAATAATCTGAGAAACTTAACAAAGATTGTGGAATCCTCACTCGAACAATATAAGGAATCACTGTTATCATAGGCTTCTAAATTAAGTATATGGTTTCTAAATTCTCCTAAGTTTGTCAGTCTGGTGCTTAGAATGCAATATGAATAACAGGAGAGTAAAAGCAGAAACTCACGTAATTTTCTCGTATGTCGTCGTGAGTGTACTCGAGACCATCATCTAGGACAACAACTCTTACACCGCGGCCCGTGACTCCCATCTTGTACAGTGGTAGCACGTGAAGATCCAGTTTTGGCAGGTCCGGTCGCGTGCGAGTGTCTTGCTGAGGCAGAAACACAATGGACATTACTGAAACACGTACTCTAGCTGTTGAGGAGTGTCTGCTTCTAAATTATTTTCCTTCCATGAACGCTAAGATAGATGTTCTATCCACACGCAGAAACATTTCCTCAATATTTGAAGTACTTATAACTGTGAAAATGAGGATTACTGTCTTCTGGGATGCGGCGCCGTACAGTATTATAGATATTTACCAACGTTTCGGCGGAACCATCTCTAAGATCACACTGTGCATCTCTCCAGTACGCTGATACTCTCACACGCACCGGAGAACGAACATAGAAGCTCGTAATCGTCTGTGGGGAGGCTACTTTATGACGCGTTCGTTGATCACAAAATCTCAGATTCATGAATGCCATGTTACTTCGTTCCTCTCCTTACACTCTTCAACCTACCAAATTGAGAAAGCATGCCACGACGGGAAAGTTGGCACTAACTTCGCAAAAAAATGGCAGTCTCAAGCCAAGGAGTTTGTTTATTTTATTTTTGCTTGTATGCCACGACAGTACGTCGTCATAACCCAGAAGACTGTAATATTCAGGAACAATTACAATATTTTATTAGTATGTACTTCTGAGATTGTCTTTTCTTCACCGGGTGCATCCTGTTGTGTGTCACAAACATATGGTTTAGGAAGGTACCCATCAACACAGGGGACCACGCGGTAGCGTAGTTGGTTGAGGCACTATGTTAAAAGCCGGAAGGTCGCGGGTTCAAGTCCCAATGAGATCACTGGATTTTTTCAATTGAACTAATCCTTCCAGCCTCACTATGGCCCTGGGGTCTACTCAGCCTCTATCAGAAATGAGTACCAGGAATTAATTAAAGAATTTTCTTGGAGAGTAAAGCGCGGCCGGCGTGTAAGGCTGATAACTTGACCGCCATCTTTGAGCCGATTGCCTAGAAAATGTGGAACCTTCAACGTCTCACAACCCTATGGGCCTTCACGGTCTCTTAGAAGGATAGTTTTACTTTTACTTTACTTCTGAGATTGAAGCCAAAACCCAGTGGGTCAAGAGCTCTGTCATCTGGGACATAACACGGTATAGTTCGTTGAGAATCAACTTCGACTTTTAACGGGCTACACGGCGTCACATCCCAGAAGATACAACTGTTCACTATCACCGCTGTGAGAGTCTCAATGGGCCAGTTTGTATAATATTTTTTAACAGCTAAAACAGAAGCATTATATGTATTTTTGTAAAGACGTAATATTAATAACAATATGCAGCTTTCAAAAGGAAACTTATGTTTAACCTTTGGATTTTAGTCTTACATTGAGTAGGTTAGGAATTACAGTTTTTTCTAAATTTGCCTAAGGTCCGGTACTCTGAAAACACAGAGAAGGAAAAGTTTCGGAAACTGATGTGTTTCTGTCCAAGGTGAGGGGGAGACACATACTCTTTTGGGTCCGTTGCAAATAGCTTACTGAGGTTAGCTGTTTCTAAAGAACCCAACAAAATAGTGCCTCCCCTCTCATCTGATGACGGCAACAGATCCAGTTTCCGAAACGTTGTGTTCTCTAATGTTATTTGAGTAATTCCGAGTGTTATACGCCACTGTCAGGACAGCTTAGAATCTGATTAGGTTTGTTTAATGATAACCTTCTGGGCTTTTCTTTACCTTCAATCTTCATAAAATATAGATTCGTCGTTATATTAAACAAATTACTTACCAGGTACCATTCTTGGTCCCAGAGTTCGTCATTAAATAGTCTTTCTACCCGCTGTGAAGGTACTTCAAGATCAGCTCTTTTCCGACGCGACGTCGGCCTTGGAATATCAGAGACATCTAGCGGCGGTTCGAAGTCTCGCTTTACTCGCTGTTTGGCAAACTGTTGCTCCGCCCATACCACCTGTTGGGAATAAAGCGAACCTCTAATTCCTGTGTGGGATAAATCCGAGTATCTAACTCTCCTCTGCTCCTCCATACGCCTTCTGGGCACAGTACTTAAGTAAGCAAAGGATTAATTATAGCTTTAGTATATTGTGTTAATAGCCCAAATTGCTCCACATATTTTGCTCCTCCTAGGTACGGATATTTTCCTAAGCGCTTTGTTCCAAAACGCTCGTAAGTAATACTCGCCCTTCAAAGTACGATACTATTCATGTCATCCATACAAAACAAATGGTAAAATTATTGCTTTGGAACCTGTACTCAAATTGAATAATAAGCATTTCCGGGATTTGTACTTCAATATTATTATTAATATCTCCGCGTCTATTCTTAGGTTCGTTCCAAGATAAGAATAATTACTTCGAGGGTAAAAGGTATAGTTCTTCCTTTGTTTAACTAATTTGGCACTATCCCATTAAGGCGTATGGGGGAGTGGATATAGAGACCCATATTTTATTGATCTAGGCAGGAGCTAGAGATGAGTGGTCAGTTTCACACCCAGGCCGCTTTAACCCCGGGGAAAGAGCCCCCGGTACCAATTGGATAGGATGTCCGATGAACTACAGAGCCGTTTTGGACGACGTGGAGAACCAAAAGAAATCTTGACCTTACCGGAACTCGAACTCAGACCCCTCGGTTGTCCAGGCCGTAGCCAGTCGCTATACCGACTACGCTAACCTGACTCAATTCTAAAATTATTCATTAGTGTCAGGTGAGGGCTTTGTTGACGAATTTGGCTTGTTGTCATTTTCTTCTATCTACGAAGACCATTGTCTTCTGGGTGTTCTGATAGATATTTACCAACGTTCCGGCGAAATCTCCTGTCTTCAACCTCCACCATGAAGAAGAAGGTAGCAAGTTGCTCCGAAATATTGGCAAATATCCATTACTCTGTAGGGTCACAACCCACGTGGCAGTAATCTTTGTAGTCACCCCGGTGGAGGTAATTTGATTTTCATTCTTACGTCTGTATCCTGTTGTGTATTTACTACGTAAATCTGCCACTCGATCACAACAATTCTACTCACCCACTCACTCACACATACATTCACTTATTCATGGAGCTGAGCGCTTCTTGAGAAGCTGCCAATTGTGCAGCTACTCCAGAACTTCCATGCGTTTTATGGAACCCAAAGCTTCATTACCGTGTTCACAAGAGCCTTCCATCGGTCCCTATCCTGAACCAGATCAATCAAATCCATACCATCCCTTCCTATCTCTTAGATCCATTTTAATATTATCCATCCACCTACGTCTACGTACACATTTACATTTTCTCTTTTACTTTTCTTTGGAAAAGTTCGAATGCCAAAACTACAGCGGTTATAACTATCCCTGTAACAGGCCGTGGAGGCCGTAGGCTTATGAGAGGTTGAGGCTGTCTCACATTTTGTAGACAATCGGCTCACGGATGGCGGTGAGGTTGTCAGCCTTATGCGTCGGCCAACTTTCACCCCTCCCCAGGAAGATTCCTGGTATTCGTTTCTCTTATATGGTGAATCGACCCCAGGGCCACAGTACGGCTGGAAGGATTGGGAAATTGAAAAAAAAATACACCTCATCGGGACTTGAACAGGTGACCTTCCGGCTTGTAGCATAATGCCTCAACTAACTAGCCTACCTCGTGCCAAACAGTGGTTATACTACTCCCAATATTTCATACTTTATAACCTAAATAAATGAGGATCACAAATTAACAACATTTTCTAACGTGCCTCACTATACTTCCCCCCTAATACAAGGATTAATGGTAGACATACCCTAGCATCCCTTGCTAGTCGCTGTGTGAGACGAGGAAATGCTCTCTTTTGTAGGGGAGGGTGATCTAGTTTCAGCATTCTGTATGTGTCTGGAAATCCCGTCACCTGCAACAGAAATAGCGCCATAGGCTCAGCAGAGAATCTCAGAATGTAAGCGGTTTGTGTGACATGTAACAATTTGTTTTGAAATTGTTTAAGATTTTTTTTTTGCCTGCGCTGAAATGGTTCTCACGGCTGTGACTATGAAGATTAATGTCTCTTGGACGTGACACCATGTAGACTGGTAAGAGCATTTCGGTGGAATTTTCTGCCTTGATTTTCAGGGTAGAAGAATTCTTTGAAAATTCATGCAGAAGTTCTCCAAATCATTGAAAAGGAAATTACCATATTATGAAGCATTATAACAAGCAAGAATTTTTTCGCAGCTTTCTTCAGACCCTCCATGAAAACATGGGGGAAGTTCCTTAAATTTGATCCTAATGCTTAGGTCCACATTTTCCCAAATTTATTATTCACTAAGATACAGTAATCACAGTAAGTTACTGACAGCGTCCTTAAATTAACTACACGACGTCACATCTCAGAAGACAGCAAACGACGTCTGCATATAGCTACCTAACTTGTAATTTTCTTATTGCTAGTGGGGTGGAACTAACACCTTTGTACTGCGGCCACATCTGGCCTATTGTACCAGCCCCAGATGATAGGTGAGGGTGATTGTGGAGCAATTGGTGGAATAAAGATTGCAGGGAAACCGGAGTACTCGGAGAAAACCTGCACCAGAGCCACTCTGTCCATCACAAATCCCACTTGACCAGAACCGGGATCGAACCCGAGCCGCCGCGGTGGGAAGCCAGCGACTAACTACCTACTAAACTGTTTGACAAAGTTAAATCTTTAGCTGGTGTGAGAAATACCAGCCCTTATAATGCGTCAGCTGACCACAGAGAACAGAAGGGAAAGCGCTGGCTCATGCCTGCCCTGCGGGAAACCCTTATTGCCTCACTAATGAATCTTAATTTAATTCACACATTCTACGCATTTGAAAGTAATGCAGCTGTTTCGAAATAGGCTAACTGATCCTTTCTAAAGCGGTTGTTATTTATGCAGCTATCAGAACATCCTCCTCCTTGTGAAACCCAAGGGCTTCATCAAATACAAATTCATAAATATTCTTTCCATCTTACGTCTATCTTAGTCTTCTCTTTTTCGTTATATCTTACGTTGTTCTTGCTTCCTCCTCTCTGTACCGTCTCGTATCTTCATTTCCATCTCATACATTTGATGCAAAGAATTTATTTTTCACTTAGGAAATTTGCACACACAATGCACAGTTTTATACATTCCATAAAGTCCTAGTTTACTTACGTAGTACTTACTTACTCATGGAGCCGCCAATTCTGCAGCTACTCGAGAATTTTCCAGCATTTTATGGAATCCGAAGGTTCATTACCGTGTTCACAATAGCCCTCCACTGGCCCCTATCATGAGCCAGATCTATCCAATCCATACCATCCCATCCTATCTCTCTAAGATCAATTTTAATATTGTTCAACCACCTACGCCTTGGTCTCCCCAGTGGTCTCTTTCCTTCTGGCCTTCTCACCAATATCCTATACGCATTCCTCTTCTCCATTCATGCTACATGCCCTGCTCACCTCATTCTCCTTGACTTGATCATTGTAACTATACTTGGAAAAGAGTACATTCTATGAAGCTCCTCATTATGCAGTTTTCCCTTGTCACAATGCATGGCTCGTCCTCAGGTTGTGGATGGAGGAGACACCCTCCAGGTAAGAAGGAAGCTGCGAATATATTAAATAAGCAGTCGCGGAGGGCCTACAAGTGGTGATCCTCCAGCTCGGGGGTTGGGCGTGGAGCTAACTCCCCCTCACCGTAAAAAAATAAGCTTGTTACGAAAATGTTCAGAAAGCCTTGGGCCTGGACGGATCCATTAAATCCCATAATTTTAAAAATATTTCTGCGATTTAAAGAGAGGTCCATAAAAGCAAAAGCTGTCTATAACTGTGCAGCGTATATGCATATGCATGACTAGACCTGCAGAAGTAGGTTGATTGCATCTTCGAAAAATTAGGACTATACTCAAAACTAGTTGAGATCTGTAAAATTTTAAGAGCCTAGTAGTAGCAGAAGCAGTAGCAGTAGTAGTAGTAGCAGCAGCAGCAGTAGTAGTAGTAGTAGTAGTAGTAGCAGTGAAGGAATGATGTTCACTGAATATAGAATATATGAATAGCTACATATGACTAGAAAGGTGCTCTCTGGGTACCCACATTTCATAAATGAGTTCTACTCGGCTTCTTATAACTTAAACACTTGACTGTTTATTCATTTATTGCATGTACAAGTATATTGCTGTTAAACCAGTCACACGGCAGACATTTCACATCGCGGATTTGAAAATTCTTTATTGTGTTTCTTAAATATTCAGAAAGCCGAAAAGGCGTTTAAGTGGAAGGTATAGCTCAGGATCGAACATTTTATTTGGTATGTAATGAACTGATTTTGATCAAATGAACCTGACAATATGAACTTCGTGCATCATATGGTTGTAATAATAAAGAAGAATCAATATTACATTTATTCTATAATTTTTACATGTACTTCTTTGAATTTAATTTTAATTTTTCGGATGTGAATCATGGCGACGGACTGACGGACACGGCCTGCCCATTATACTTTTGTTTTCTGCACTACCTATAAATACCAAATAGAATCACCCTGTGATAATGAAACTAGGATGATGACGCGCACAGCGAGCCCAAAACCTCCTAGTGCCGCCATCTGGACGAACGTCATTGTACTGTGCGATTGCGAGCGTCAATGGAGTTGTCAATATTCATGAGAGATGTCTCTACTAGCATACAGCTTTTCCACGACATGTCCGCGATATGACGTCAAGCGGCATCCAATCGATATATCGATTTGACGCTAAGTGACGACCCAATGAACGCCCACGGTGACCCGGGTGTGGACGCTTATATTAGGAAAATAAGAGAAGCGAAGAGGTAGCTAAGCTCTAGCAGTGGGGTACAACCCTTCCCTCTGTCAAAATCTCCCCTTCGTGGGGGTGTGAGTAGGAATGGGGATATAAAATCGATATCTACCGCCCTCTTGCGGGAGAGCGTGCGAATAGTTGTTTGGCGCACGCTCTGGCGGCTGTTATGAGTGATGGAAGGGGGACTGGTCTTGATGGGAGGTGGGGGGGGGGAGGATAGCCGGNATCAGAACATACAACACAGAGGGGTCATCCGCTCCATTCGTGGAGATATTGCAGTGTCACATGGTAGCACTTAGGCAGCTGTGATGTCTTGGCTTACTGCAGTTCGATATTTTAGTTCTGTTCACTGACCTCCGAATGACCAATTTTGAACGTGCCTCACGCCAATCAGTTCCGCAGTTTCTACTGTCTGTCCCTAAGATAGATTCTTCTGCAGTGAAAACGTGCCGCGGCAGTATTCATTACAGGAACGCTGAAGCCGCATTCAGACCTAAATCACATTTTTATATCGAGCAGTTTGGTGTAGCCGTAATGATCTAGACTTCTGTGCGGACTGTATTCAGTCTTTGGGTTAATTTTTCCTGGCATTACAGGATCTCATTTGTTGAAAACATCATCATCATCATCATCATCATCATCTGGTAGGGTGATATATTAACGATGGATTGAAAAGAATCTGGAAGGACGCGGCCGTTGCCTATTTGGGGTACTATCCCGATATTTGCCCGGAGGACTGAGGAAAGAATATGAACAAGGATAGTCGACGTAGGGGCCGAAATTCGAACTGAATAAAAGTCTAGAACGTTACATAACTTACAGCCTGTTCAGTATTATTAGTATTATTAACAGGGCCCGGATTTTGATGACCTGAAAATGACCGAAAAAATTCAGAAAAATGACCTAAAATATGGCCCAAAAATGTAATATGCAGGGCCCGGATTTTGATGACCTGAAAATATTAAAAAAATGACCTATAAAATGGCCGAAAAATCCAGAAAAATGACCTAAAGAGAAAATAAAAACACTTTGCTTCCATGTTATTCACATTTCAGAAAAAATATGAAGAAAAATTCCCTAAAATGGCCAAAAATGACAAGAAATACCCTTAAAAGTCCAAAAATTTACCAAAAAATTACCCCCCAAATGAAAAAAAATCTAAAAAAAATGACAAAAAATTACCTATAAAATTTACATTTCTGTAACCAGCAGCTCATATCCGAGATTTATATTTAAGAGCATCGCATAGGATACAAAGAAAAAAATGACATGTCATCAAAATCCGGGCCCTGATTATTAACATCCCTATCATTTGTACTTCGATCTGTAAACCTTCCACGCATTTCCGAGTCAGAGGTGAAGGGTTTGACTGCAATAGCTGAAGTGTGTCGGTCAAGATGAAATTCCCAATTGTATTATTTAAAACGGGGGCACGCGGTAGCGTAGTTGGTTGAGGCACTATGCTACAAGCCGGAAGGTCGCGGGTTCGAGTCCCGGTGAGGTGGATTTTTGCAATTGACCTAATCCTTCCAACCGCACTACGGCCCTGGGGTCGACTCAGCCTCTAACAGAAATGAATACCAGGAATTAATTAAATAATTTTCCTGGGGAGTAAAGCGCGGACGGAGCGTAAGGCTGACAACCTTGCTGCCATCTGTGAGCCAATTGTCTAGATAATGTGGGACCCTCAACGTCTCACAACCCTATGGGCCTTCATGGCCTGTTACAGGGATAGCTTTACTTACTTACTTACTTTATTATTTAAGGCTCTTCCGAGAGTTTTGTCCCTCTTTTAAGTCACAATTTCAATCCATTCTTCTTATTCTGAAAAGATACGAGGAATTCTCGGAAGAACTAATCGCCCACTTTCCTTTGATATGAGACGGACCGCATAGAAAGCGACGCCTCGTACAGTTCTTCGTTGTCGAAAGTTTTCTCTACTTGTCGTATGAAATACTCTTAATTGTAAAGAAAACAACGTAGGCTAACAGTTATTCCCATAACTCAATACGGATATTGATTTCTTAATAGAGAATTTTCCCAGGTTGTGGATGCAAGCGACTATTATGCCTATTTTCGTAAGAGATAA